ATTTTCGAATTTTAGGAGGATTTAGATCCTACAAAATTAGGATACCTTCCAACGGTTTACCGCCTCATCGTGACTTGGAGGTGTTCTTGGCTGTCGGACTGCGATGTACAGCGGCAGGATTCGTCCCCTGGCAGGGTCTCCCAAGCTGAGAAGGAGTCCGGCGTTTCCATCAGGAAGGCTAGCTAAGAGTAAACCAATACCAGGATCCGCCACCATTTTGATATCAAAGTCGACTGGTGGCAAATCTCCCTGTGATCCACAAAGGCAGCGACTGCCTGTTCTTGTGACGACCTGGGGCAGACTTTGGCCAGGCAGTCCTCGGGATTCCAGGGAACCACAATGGTTTAATCAGCAACTCTCCGAAAAATAATGATTATGCTGTGTTCCGCACAACTAGTGAGGACGGGTCGCTCAAGTATCAAGTAGGTATAAGCCAATTAGGATAATAAATTGATGAAGCCTTATTTCAGATCAAGAGTCCTAGAACAATTACGAAAAAGTTGGAACACTTTCGACAATTAAGTTTCTTTTTTATTTTTTTTGACTTTCGTCTTCACGTCTACTCTGCAGATTCTAGCACTTCTCACATTCGATTCGTTTCCTCGCATACATTGTCCACAAAGACCTTCTAACTTTTACATGTGACTTCGGTTGCTGCTTTAGGATTTTCATTTCACTTTGAATGTCGTAGAATGCTGGTCGAGCAATTCTCCTTAGAGTCCTGAGATAGGCAGACTAGAGCGTTCCCAATTGGATTGCAGGCAGTGATTTTTTCCCAGACAAGTCCGATACCAATTTCCCGAGCACGAAGGGATGAGAGGCTTGAGTGGCCCGGAGCAGAATCGAACTAACATCATGTTCGTGATGACGGACATCACTACCACTGCTATCCTCACCCTGTTAAGCTTCCCTACAATTACAAAACACTCGTAATAGTTAAATATGAACAAGGCAATATAGAAGCAAATTTAGGTGTGGCGCAAAAATGAAAACATTGTCAAATCTTCCAGTTTGATGTGAAATCGGCAGGAATAATCCTAAATTTAGCAACCTCACAGCAAATTTCTTTAAAATGCGGTATGCAGAGTCCAGTAGTAAACTATAAGTATACTTTAGATGTTTTTAGGATCTAAGACGACTTTTTCCTCGTAGAAAATTGGCAACTCAGAGCACTAACTTCGCCTGTCAATGGACGACGAATATCGTACCACTTTGTAGATGGTTATGTGGTCTGTCCATGAATATTTCTCTACTCCGTCACCTCCTCCATTCATTGTGTTGTTCGACAATCATCTTCCACACTAGGATAACGGAGTTCGCATTTTAGTTCGAAGATATGATGATGTAGTTTCATCGCTTCCTGAGACCTTTTGCACTGCTGGTTTTTCCAACAGTCCCGATATAGCCATGTTTAGATTGACCCCAGACTTTTGGAATGGAGGTTTGATGTCTTGTGACTACGGTTCTTATCAGCAGCGACTTTGTAATTAGTCGAACGATTGTTTGAGAACACTGTAACTAGCCAGCTGCAATATTCAAATGAAGCATGAGAGAAAGAGTAAATTACGAAAGTCACACCGGAAGGTGCCAAACTTTAGTGTAGTATTATGAAGTGAAACGCCATTCGTCCATTCATAATCGCCTGTTTCACTCAAGTCTACTAAGCACACAATTTAAGCGATATAGGTGAATTAGTAGTTAACTCCTGCTATGGCCAAAATTTGTTTGGTTTATACATCCAATTCATGATTCCTTCATTTTCGAGACTTTCAAATTCTCAACAGCGTGGTGAGCCTAATCAATTCGACTGATTTAGAGACATTTCCTAGAACCTGGAATCTGGGCACGCCTATGGGAAAAAATGGGATATCTATAGCCATATACACAACATATCCCAACTCTAGAAGGGACAACCCTCCCAACATACCTGCGGACTATCGTAGTTCGCAGTCTAGTTCCAATGAGAACTTTTTCCTAAAATTTCTTTCTAAACTTTTCATTTAACTCGCAATTTGGAAAGAGCCGCAAATTTAAGACCGTCAGCAGCAAAAAACACAAAAATGAAATGAATAACATCGCACCATCATTGATTTGTTTCTGGGCGAATTGATCTTCAGCTTTCGTTGGATCCAGTGACACTGCACATTTCGCATCGTCCTAAACAAGCCTCTTATCACCATAAATTGGCGACAAATGAGAAGACACTTAAGATCCTCAGGCATGAAGTGGTTAAATATTGCATTAAAAAACTGAAATCGGGCAACAGTAAGACGTCAAATGCTAGAAGCAAAGTGGTTGTATGGTAGAGCATGGTATAATAACATGTAGTAAATAGCAGTATACACCTATAACCCAATCCTGCTTCTAACCTCTCAAGGTCTCTACTTATCTAAAGTATTCTTGCCTATGGACAGTAAGTCAGTATCGTTCTTTACGTGTTGTGTTTGAATGGCGAACGACTTACCCAACCACGTAACCAACATGAAATTAGTCTTCGACCCACGCAACGATCACGCAAAATTGAGCATAGCGCGTTTTTCAGGATGAACAGTGTGTGAATAGGCCCAACGAAATACAAAACTTATTTGAAACTAGGCAAAAAGTGAAAGAGAACGTAACTGTTCCTAGAAATCGGCCCTCAGTTAACTTCGACAAGAATGATCAATATCATTGTTTACCGATAATCCGCAACAGTTATTTCTTCGAAATCGATTAAATAAAGGATAAAGGATAAAGCTCTAGGTATCGACCGATCCCTGAGGGATGCGCCATGTATTCGACTTCATTAAGCATCGTTTGGAGGTGATTGAATGCATATATGGCCTTTACAGTGACTCGCGGTGGCCATCGAGCTAGTGCTGCTATCCTCTAAAGCAAGTCTGGTACCAATTTGCCGACCCGGGAGGGATGGAAGGCTTAGTGAGCCAGGGGCGCAGGGATCGACTCCATGTCTGTGTCGCAGAGCGACTCGGACCGCTGCGCCACGAGCGCCCTCTATGTAACTAATTACAAAAAAAATTCGAGTGGTGCCTATTTTATTCAATTATAGTTGGCGTGAGTACGAAACCGACTACATCGCTGTAATAGCTATGCACCCTTCTAACCAGTAGCAAAAATTTAAGGTAGAAAACTGAAATGAGAATGAGAAACTTCTTGCTGGATTTCAATTCAAAAACGTCTGTTCGGTAGATTTTCATTAGGTGAAAAGACGGAAAATCTCCGATGTTTACGGAAAAGCTTAACGATATTTCTCACAGGGTGATCGATTAGATTCATACAAACAGAAGTTTAAAGGCATTTTTATATAAGCCTCAACCACACAATTCAAAGTAAGAAAAATTGACCGGATCCTGACCAACAAAAAAAACTTTGTCATCATCTAGAGCGCATGTTGTGCAGTAGTCGGAGGCGCCCAAAGCTCATCAAGCCTTCCATTCCTCCGGGGTCGCTAAATTACTACCAGACTTGTCTGCGAGAATAGTAAGGTCAGATCTCCATTTAATCGCCTCCAACAATCCTTACTGAAGTCGAATGCAATGTGCATCTTCCAGCGATTGATCAAAGCCGAGAGTTTCATCATTTGTGAAGAGCAAGTGATGTATGGTGAAGCCGTTGTGAACAGAATTTTTTCCCCACATAATCCAGGAGCGCTTGAGCGAGGACAATGAACCGTTTGTAAAGCAACATTGAAAACGCGTCAAACGTTGCTTATTTCTTAAAGGGCAGTATAGACGAGACATTCTCTCTGGACATATCATTTGAGTACGCGGTTATTCCCGCAAACCTGTCCCGAGGAGCTGCCGTTTCATAGGTATTAGAAACGTCTATCTCTACCATGCCAATTTTATAGACTTTTCTTCTGCTCCATTGTTGTGCACACTTGTAGAACAGAAAAATCGCTGAAATTAGCTCGGTAAATAAATAATTCTAATAGATAAATGGTGGCTCCTCGGGATAGGTTACGAGAAAAACCATGTTCCCAAAGGATATTTATAAAAGAATTAGGTCCCACTTATTCTGCTCTTCATTTCCAGCGAAATAAGCGCGGCTATAGAACGTTGCTTAAAAAGAGCCTCTTTAGATAAAACGGTAGCAGATGCTGAAATACCACCCTCGAAGCCACCAGTTAATTCGTAACCGTCTGGTTACGTGCAATTCGAAATCGCATAATCTGCAGTAACGCCAGAGACCGTAGGTGATTCATGAGTTCGGTTTCGGTGCACTTCATCACTTGTAAAGCATGCGGCGATGAACATGCTAGCGAAACGGATGGATCACTGTACATCTGTATAAATGAATAAATACCTAATCGGTAGATCTAAAGCTAAACTAAATACTCCACTAAACGATCATAGGATATAGAGACCTAACGAAGAAGATTTTTAATCGGAAGTTACTGTGAAATATAACTTCAATGGTGCTGAGATATTTGCAAAACTCCGGACCGCAGGTGTAAGCGGTGGGAAACGAACGCGCTATCGTCCTTTCCGAGGAGTAGCGCGTTCACCACCACACCACGCGGGTCCTTCGTTTCTCCTGTCTCACAGCTAGTTCTAGCGCGTTCGTTCCCCACCGCATACACCTGCGGTCCGGAGTTTTGCAAACATCTCAGCACCATTGAAGTTATATTTCACAATGTATACCCTGCCGTTAAAAAGAGTAGGCAGTAAATAATGAGTTAAGAAGTTAGTGTCTTCTCACAGGAATCGAAACAGCATGGAAAACTCATGAAGCATTCTGAATAAATTCGAAGAGTCCAAGAATGAATCGGAGGGATCCTCGAAATCCTCGAAACAGATTGCCATCGTGAACAACCTGTACGAAGAAGAGAAACGAATGAAAAGTGTGCTGTGGCTCAAAGGACGGTTCGTAAAGAAGTGTCATGAAAGTAGCAAATATGAAACAATTACAATATTATTGATATGCTCTTGTATTCGGTTTATCCGTGAATGAAATAAGGTTTATGCTATCGAAGTTGAATCTTGAGAAAAATCAGTTTTTCACAAAAATTTAGCTCTGACTGATAAAAAGTTATCGAAACAAACCTTTCCGTTGACCCATGCTGGGGTCTTATGAGACTTGTAGGCGACATATCCTTTCGTAAGCCCTGCTGCTATACTGAGCGGCGAAATTGGTCTGAAATGCCCTTATCTAGATCATGTGTGTTAAGACGTTTCTTGAGCAAAATTATGATAAAAATTCGATAAAAGAGAGAAAATTTTGTAATGCAGTGGTTTTCCTTGTATTCATGGTAATGGCAAAAGTATCCCTAAATGTCTGGAAAACCTACTTTCATTAAACCTGAGTAACAATAATCAATAATTCTCTACATGACTGAGCTAACACGAAGGTCGTACAAAGCTTTTATTAAGCTAAAGTTTCGACCCCATGGCCTTCTTCAGATCCGCTTCAATCGTTGACTGTTATCGAGGTTTAATGAAAGTCGGATTTTAAGATATTAATTGCCACGCTCCGTGCAAGGAACTAATGTACCGACTGCTACAGGATGCATTGCCTGCCAAAAAGCAGATCATACTGGATGGCGGCAATGGTCCGACAACAGCTCTGTGTAGAAAGGTACCGCTAAGTGAAGTTCCACATTCGCGTGGTGCTCCGTCCACTGGATTCGACACGATGCGACAACAAACACCTACATCGCGAAAACGAGCAGCTGTGGATCATCGACTTGGATCAACGCGCCTCTGAAGAAGACGAAAGCAACGAAAACTTACCCTGAATAGAAGTTTGCACCAATGTCGTGTCAGCTCAATCAAATAGAAATTCATTGAGTATCATAAATGTTTTTTCCATATAGTTTAAATGCGTTTTCAGTTTCAGAAATTTTACTCCTCAAAATCCTCTGGGACTAGGAAAAAGCACCTGCTGGCAGTGTTTTCTCCGGCATAGAGGATCCAGTTCAGATCGAGATTGTTCTCATCCACCAATTCTGATTCCGGTACTCCGAAAGAATCGTTGACTGGCGGCGTCGAGTAGTTAATCAAACCATCATATCGAATACGAGGTAACGTTTGCCGGCGAAGACGAGCCTGATCATTGAAGCAGTGTATGAAAAAAAAAGAAGACGATTTCTATCCGACACTCCAAGGAACATGCTTGCTTTTTATCTTTCGATTGAGATCTCTACCTAGAAAACTCTAATATAATGCTGGGAGAAAACTAAATGCGCCTCTCGTTTTAGCCGAATTTCCTATATAAAGATTTGAAGCTCTCGACATTCATCAATCCCCGAGGGATGCGCCATGCACTCGATTTCACTAAGCATTTGTTGGAGGTGATTGAATGCATATCTAGCCTTTATAATGGCTAGCGGTAGCCTACCGATGTATCGAACCAGCGCTGCTATCCTCCCAGGCAAGTCTGGTACCAATTTGTCGATCCAGGAGAGATACAGGGCTTGGCAGACCACTGGCGTGGGATCGATCTCATGTGTGTGGCATGAGGCCTTCGACCACTGCGCCACATGCGTCCCGGACTTCCTATGTATACCACTAAAATATTTAGCAGATTCTAACCGATTTATTTACTGCCTACTCTTTTTAATATCAGGGTATATTGCAAAATATAACTTCAATGATGCTGAGATATTTGCAAAACTCCGGACCGCAGGTGTCTGTGGTGGGGAACGAACGCGCTATTGCCTTTCCGCGGAGTAGTGCGTTCACCGCCACACCATGCAGGTCCTTCGTTTGGCATGTCTCTCAGCTAGTTCTATCAATATCTTCCATCAACAGCCACCTGTTGGCGGGGTTGATCTGGAGAGCCCAAATCGCAATATTTCGTTATTAATTATATTTCTCAATATACCCTGCCATTAAAAAGAGCAGACAGTAAATAAAACGGTTGGAATTGTGATTATAACGAAAGCCTCAGCTTAACTAGGTTCATTGCCGATTTGGGCTCCCCGGAACAATCCCGCTGACGGGTGTTTTCCGACGGCAGAGATCGAGAGAACTAGCTGAGAGACAGGCGAAACGAAGGACCCGCATGGTGTGGTGGTGAACGCGCTACTCCCCGGAAAGGCAATAGTGCGTTCATTCCCCACCACAGACACCTGCGGTCCGGAGTTTTGCAAATATCTCAGCATCATTGAAGTTATATTTAGCAGATTATGTCCTATTCCATTTAGACTTCCAAAAGACAAAATATTATTTTTACGACATTCAAAAACATTGTTTTAGTACCAATATGACTTAGTATGGCCGCGTGTGGCGCAGCAGTCGGAGGCGCCTTGTAACACACTTGCGGAATCGATCGCAGCGCCCACGGCCTACCAAACATTCCATCCTTCCGGGGTAGGCAAATTGGTACCAGACTTGTCTGGGGAAATGGCAGCAATGGATTGATACATCGGTAGGCCACCGCGAGTCATTGTAAAGACTAGATATGCATTCAATCACTTCCAAACGATGCTTGATGACGTCGAATGCATGACTCATCCCTCAGGGATTGATCAACGCCGAGAGCTTTATCGTTTTTATCTTTTTTGACTTTGTAATTGTTCCTTGGTACAAAAAAACATCTATTTCCACGAGGCAAAGCTAGATAAATCTTAGCATGACTAGCAAGAAAACTCAGTATACCACGACGGCGTTGGTCAGCCCACGAGCAGAATGGCGGCCTTCGGCATCCTTTACCATCTTCAGCAGTATGTCCACCTTACCGTTCATCATGTAACCAACCACGGAAAGCTGCTCAAAGGCGGCCAGTCTACAATTCCATGCAATCTGTTTCTTCTGTAATGTCATTTGTCAATGAATGTTAGTGATTGGCACTGGCAAAGCCTGATTTCTTTCCTATAGTGCCAGAATTGTCCAGTATTCTACACTTGTTCGACGAACATAAGCATTACCACATTATCTGTATGGGGCCTTTTATTTCTATTGATTTTAGATAAGCATCTAGTAGCAGACCGCTAAGCTTTCACTGTGGCACGGATTTATTACTAGCATAGGTCCAAATGGAAACGTTAAATTATTCTAAACTGAAAAAAAAGGTTATGGAAGTTAAAACGTTGTGGTTTAAAGTGTAACATCAGCTTAATTGAGTTTATCGCCGACGTGTGCTCCTCAGATCATAGCCATTGCGGGATGATTGCTGTTGGCACCGTTTGGATGAAAAAGCTGGATGAGAGAAAGCAAAGCAAAACCTCGGTTAGCTTGATTTTCTGTAGAGTACACTACAACGACATAGTGAAATGTGGACCACTTTTATATTGATTGAAATGTCTTCTATACTACTCACTAGCAATCGTTTAGCTTAAAGTGAAATTCTTTCTTCTGATTGATTCACTTAGTTGAAGAATTTCTCAACGTTGTGGTTAAAAATGTTAAACGTTGCGGTTGGTCAGCTTAGAAGAGAGTCATGTTTAGGTTAGTCTAACATCAACAGTCTGTGAAGATTGCTGCTATCAAAGGCTCCGTACGCAAACTGAATGGGTTTTCATTCCTGATCTTCTGCAATCCAGCTGATATCTAACAACAGAAGGTATCAGATGATTGTTTCAGAAATAGAGTTTCCGAATAGAAAGCTAAAACGTCACTCTTTCTCTTGTATGGAGTGCTATAACACCAGCGCCGATCCAGAGCTATACCATGTCATCGAGAAAAAGCTCACAAACTCACCTTACGCGCCTTTTCGGATCAAGCAACAGTGGTACGAGAATATTCAGAACAGCGGTGAAGTTGATCCGAGACGATGATGTGATCATCAGAGCCGATGTAAGAATATTCAGTACCTGGTTATAATATTATGAACAACAGCAGATTCACATTTTCCAATTAAAACCTCAAAGTTTTGTGCAAGAAACAAAATGCTAATACATCGTTCCTCTGACAAGTCGTTTATTTATTCAGAACGAAAAAAATGCTTAAGGTGAATTCAATAACAAGTGGTTACAACATAATGTCATAAGGTTCCCGAACTTAACAAACGTAAGCAAAACATTCTCTTCTACTTTACAAAACTCAATCGAAGTCTGCTTCCGGCTTTACGGAAAACCAATAAACATCAGCTGGAAGAAGGCCGTTCAGGTTACAAAAGTTATAATTAACATAACCGCCTTCACCAGTCATCCATTTACGAATAAATAATACTGTTCGAGGATTTCTTTAAATGTGTCGCTCCCATTACTCTATTCTATTGTGCTGGAATGTAATTCCTCTCTTACTTGAACCCAAGAATTTCTTCCACTTTTAGACAAGTATATGTCCTATTTGCACGTTTCCTCTCTTACTTATGTCCAAAAGTTGTTTCCACTTTTAAGAGAGTACATACTTGATTTGACACGTTAAAAGGCGTTTTAAACTCTATGGATGTATATGGAAATCTATGGTTGAAGAAAGAGCAGTTACGCAGGATCAAAACATTCAAGACAGTAACTGCCACGACCGACTTTCTATTAACCTCGGCATTGATCAAGTAATTTTCTTCGTATTTTTGTTGAGCAAACGCGAGGCGTTATTATTCTTTGTTCACGATTAAGCTGACGTTTCGGCAGATTTCGCCTTCCTCAGAGCTTGGAAAGGTTAAGTTGGTAGCAATCTACTCGGCCAGACGCCCCCACAACCAAACAAAATGAGGGGTAGTATAATGTGAGGGCACATTATACTTCCATGTGATTTCTGTGCGGTTGGTCTCTACGTGACATACCTAGTGGAAACCTCATAGGAAGCAGTGAGTTTGCAAAGCTGTGTTCAAAGTGATTGAAATCTTGGTTTAGAGTTTCTTTGTTTGGTTATGGAGGCGTCTGGTCGAGTGGATTGCTATCAACTTGACCTTTCCAGGCTCTGAGGAAGGCGAAATCCACCGAAACGTCAGCTTAATCGTGAACAAAGAATAATAACACCTCGCGTTTGCTCAACAAAAATACGAAGAAAATTCAAGACAATGTCTTGAAAAACGACTCCTATTAAATATCGGCAACAATAATCAGCAGTTTTTTTTACCGCACTTGAACTGATTTTACATGGCTGTCCTTTTTTCTTCATTTTACACGACCTGTCTCCACGTCTACTGTGCGGATCCCAGCACTTCTCGCATTCGATTCTTTTCTTCGCACTCATCCTTCACTAAGGTCTTCCAACCTTACCTGTGGCTTTGGCTGCTGCTCGAGGATTTTCACTTAATCTTAATTGTCGCAGAATGCTGGTCGATCCTGAGATAGCCAAGCTGGAGAGTTTTCAACTGCCTTTCTCAATTGCCAATGATCGGCATCACTTCCACTGTGCCATTCCTCCCTTCCCCCTATTATATTTATTCCTTCAAAAAAATTATGTAGGCAAACGTTTAAATACTCAGGTTTGAGGTTAGCACTTTACAACACCTCAAACTCCGAGCGACGCCCCACACATCCACAAAATTCAGGCAGTACCCTCAGTTCAGCTTCGGGCGCCCCACTTCGCACACTTTTCACCGTGTTTGAACAAATATGTCATCTACGAAGATTATGTTTTGAGTAGATACGAAAAAACTCGAAATTGGAAATGAAGTCGGAATTCGTGAAGACTATATTCCAATTTCAATTGACTGGAAGTTTTGCATAATTTCATAGGCTTCCAAATGTTAACAGAGAAGTGTGCCGACTGTTCGGGTGCAGGCTAATTCTACGACTCTTTCATCGCTAAGAAAAATTTTTCTTACTACATCTACACAAAATCTCTTTATTTTAACCTGCTCCCATGCTCCATTTTTTTCAACGTTTGTAATTGCAGAAATAATGGTAAGCACTAACCTCTTCTCTAATCCGCGAATTCTTGTTCTCTAAGTGTACACACAAAGCTCCTACAACCGCCTTTGGATTGATGTTTTGGAAGAGATCCATGAAAGTCATCATGATCAGCTGCTTTACGACCGCTTTTTGGTTTCCGAAGTGCTGCGCCAATAGCGTGACAACTTGCTAAATTTTCCAAGCGTTTTCACGAAGGAGAAACATTTACTCGGTATGAGTTATTGTCCGCTTGACATCTCGATTACCACCAGACTTACAAATGATAAAAGTGATAAGAAAATAAAGCGTGTGCAGTTCATGAGATTGAATGCATGTTTACCGTACGCAATACCTTATGTTGGCCTAGTAGACGTATTAGTCAAAGTTTTTATCTCCTTTAATAACTCTAGGGTAGATTTGCCGAAACGTCACGCTTCCCAGGCCCAATCCCAATGGGATGGGAATCCTGGTAGGCCTGGGACGCGAGGTCGAACCAACAACGGTGGACACGGTATACGATACCTTAACCAGTGTGTTACACATCCCCCAATAAAGGTGAAATAGGGGATAAATTTTTCGCATAAAAACTTTTGATGTGTATTTGTTATTAGCATATTATTGGAATCATAGTGTTAACTTTTAATTTGCTGCCTATTAAAACTTTCTACGGCAGAATATTATGTGAAATTTAACCATAATGATGCTGAGATATCTGCAAAACTCCGAACCGCACGGTATGCGGTGGTGATCGAACACTGCATTACGTTTTCTGGACTAACGCGACAGCAAATTGTATTGTAGTAGAGAGCACATAAAAAGTTAACATTGCAATTTAAGCTGCATCCACAGCTTAACTGGGCACACCGCCGATTTGGTCCTCCCAGATTAATCCCGTTGAAGGGTGATTGCTCATGGCAATGATCGATGGAAAACAAGCGGAGAGACAGGCGAAACGAAGGACCCGTATGGTGTGGTAGTGGACACGTTAACCCCTGGAAATAGCGCCGTTGAACTCCACCACAAGCACTTGCGGTCCGGAATTATGCAGATATATCTGCATCATTATGGTTGAATTATTAGAATAGTTGATGCTATAGGAACTTGGAATCCAATAACAATACTTTTCCCAACAATCTAGGAAATATAAGAGCACACTCGTAAGTCCGACCAATGACTTGGACAAATAATTCTCTTTATCGCATCGTGTTGATCTCTTGTGCGTCTGTGAACTAGTAAGCGCTTCTCCTTCAGCTCCTCGCAGTTCATTGTGAAAGACCCATCCACATTCATCACCCGACGAATTTAATGATGGGAAATATTACTGCAGAATAATCGCGAGACCGCTCATCACCATAAACACCTCATAAATGTTCATTAATAAGCGAGAGAAAAGGATAAAAGAATCAACGACAACCTGTAGATGTGCTTCCATTTGAGATTTAAGACGGTTCACTGTGAGTCGAACGACGTCCAAACCAAGAATAACGACCTTAAGAACTTGTTACTAGGCACTGTCTGAGAACTAGCTGGATAAACTTTTCCAGGAATGCAAAGAACTTTTTCAAATTGTACCATTTCATGACAATAATTCGAATATGTTACATTGGAATGCGATATGAACAATGTTGACGCTTTGCCAATGCAGTGCTTTTCCTCTGCACAAAATTAGTACCCAAGCCTTATAGCAAGGACTAGAAAATAATTCGATTTAACTTTCCGAGAAAATCTTAGCAAATTTCCTTTTTAAACCAATATTTCCAATCGTTTTCCTTTCTTACTGATAGCTTCATCAGACCAGAATAAGCAGAAAAAGATCTAGGAATGTTTGAAAAAAGATGCTGAACAACCTTGAAGTTGAGTTCACTGAGAACGTTACTCAATGAGATAAGATAGGAATGGAGATGGGGAACAAGACGAGAGATCTCCTCACTGGTGATGTCTTCGATTAGCTGCTTCAGCTGAAATGAAGAGAAGAATTCGTATAAACGGAGTAATCATCTAGAACTTTGGTTTCGAACAAACCAAATTTCGAGCTGAAGATCGTGTATTTTTATGTTTGTTTTTCTCTACTGGTATGCTGAATTTTTGTAGCCATAAGGTACTGTACGATGCTGAACTTCGATATAAAGTGGGGGACTCATCCCTGTGGCTAGGCCTCTCAAGCTGTTAATAACGTCGATATTTTGTCGGTGAAAGTCCAGTGATGAGCAAACCAATGAAAGAAGTCGCAACTATCCAGGGAAACCTGGTCTCAGTGTAGCTAATTTTCCCTCGAACCACAAGGAATTCCACCTGTGGTAAAGCATTAGGAGAGCATTGGTACGGTTATTTCGAGGCTCTACAGGCAGAAAAAAGTGTCAAACTAACAAGTTCCCATGGAAATGAAGAATGTTTTCAGGCTAACAAGATTTTCGTGGGAAAGTATTATTCAATTACTCAAATGTTAGGAATTTTTATGTGTTTACAATGGCAGAGTCAGAATTTTCACAGCACTGATGAAATTTTTCAACCTTTTCCAGTCCAGAGATCCTTATCGCAACATCCGTATTGTCCATCACCATGGCTGCCACAACAGACGGAACGATTCCGAAACGTAACCGCCGTTCCCCAGACGCTAATTTCATGCTGCTTCGATTCGTCGATGCAGATTGAGCTAGAGGAATTCTAACATGATTTTTTTAAGACTTTTAACAAAAATAGCAGCAGAAGATGGACGCAAAAACTTCGGTCCGATCAAATACGTTATCATATTAAAGAAAATTTTCACGAAAAACGCGTCACACGAATTTCGTCCGTAGAAAAAACGCTCCTTCCCACCGGTTTACCGCCTCATCTTGGGTGGGAGCTGTTGCTAGATATCGGACTGCGGTTTACAGCGGGGATTCATCTAATGGCAAGATCTCTCAAGCTGAGGAGTCCAGCGTTTCCAACAGGAAGCCTAGCTAAGAGTAAACCAACACCAATACCTAGATCCACCGTCGTTCTGCTATCAAAGTGGCATGGTGGCAAATCTCCTTCTGATTCACAAGCGCTGCGACTGCCTGTGGTGGTGAAGACCTAGAGCAGACTTTGGCCAAGCTGACCTTGGGATACCATGGGACGACAATGGCTTAATCAGCAACTTTCCGAAAAATGGAGATTATGGTGAGACCCTTTCAACCAGTGAAGACGGACCATTTGTGTATCAAGTAACCAAGAAAAAACGCTCAATTTTGATTTTTGCCCACGAGCAAGTCTATTTTTGGCAGCATTGCGCTGTCTAAACGGTTTTTAATGCAACACCTTTCGCAAATTTTATTTCATCTCGGCCAACACCTGCGACAATTTGCATCGGCTCCACGTTGTATACCTTTTTCTCTATTTTTAACGTACTTCCTTAAAACTGTTTCTTGCTTTTTTTTCAAATTTTTATTTCTGTTCCTGTTCCTTTATTTTGAGGATGGCTCGACGAAAGCCAATTTTTGCATGAAAAATTCTCTAAAAAAGACGGTTACTCGTACGAGATCGTCTGTTCCCATGCGTCCCAATGTGATTTCCGCGCTCCATGTAAATACGGGGTAGCAAAGAGATTCTTGCTTATGGAGATGTTAAGATGTCTCTAGCGTCCAAATAGAAGTATGGGACTCCTGCGGCGAGCTGTTTCTTTTTATGCAGGTATAGTAAGACCGAAGATTGATGCTAACAAAGAAAGTACAAGGATTTCTCTGCTTAGGAGACTCTGATGGACAAGGCGAATTGAGTACAATGCTCAGCGCGCACGATAGAAATTCAGACATTACCCTGAATCTACTGAACAACGTACTTAATAGGTACCACTTAAGAAGTACCGTTTCGGTACAGCATAGCGTAGTCTAGTTTAAAAATGAGGACAATTCGAAGTTCGAAGTTTTGCCAGATTTCAAAAACTTGGGACGTGTGCAGTCCTTACAGGTTTGGTAAGTTTGCCGAACAATGACTTATTTATAAACAAATGTGTGCTAAGTGTGACAGTCGGAACGTTGCTGTATTTTTGATACGACGTACGCCCTTCTCATTAAGGTGTTTAATCTCGAAGGTGATTGGTACCTTTGTTATTTGTATTTGCTTGTTTGCCTTGCCTATTTGTCTTTGTTCTAAGCGTCAGTGAATGGTAAAAGAAAATATCGGGTACTGCATTTGATGGTCAAATGGACATTTATTTCAGCAGGACAATGAAGGAGTCCAACTGTGTAGATCTTAATCTCGCTAGCAACGTGATCCATGTGGAGGCGTAATAAAAAAATTACGTACCACTTTGTGTCGATTCAGTTGGAGGAACAACGACGTTCTTGCTGAAACGTGCATAGTCCTTCTGCTGGGTTGCTGACAACTCGTCCAGCATTCGTGTAAAGATACTTTTACCCAGATATACTAAAAGAAACTGAATAAAGACTGGAAAAAGACATTTGTGTTATCGAGAGCAGTTATTCGAGACGTTCATATCCGAATCGAACGTCAATTTCCTTCTTCATTCTCTTTTAAATCTTTTCTTGACATTTTTTAAATCGAGCTAATTAAAAGAACCTTCTTTACTCGTATTCACTTTGTGTGTCACCACACAAAAAAACTACTTTTTTGCTAGAGATCCTCAGAAATGTCGAGATCTTCCCAGAAGAACTTTTTCGTTGTTTACTGGGAGATCTTTTAAGTTATTTTACTACCTAAATGTTTCCATTATCTTTTCTAGCAGTATTTGTAAAAGAAATCTCTGGAGAATCCCAAAGATTCCCATCACCCCATAGCATGTTAAAAAATGTTTTCAAAAAAAAAAAGAAGTGTTCATGTTCGAAAATGGGCTCGTTCTATTCAAAAAGATCCAAAGCAGCGATTTTGCAAAGCAATAGACTACATTCATCTTAAATTTGGAGAAATTTGTACCAGTTATCACAATATCTGTTCAGTTGATCTCATACGATCTCCAAACATTTTGTAAGCGTGCTATCTCCTCGTAACTAGTCTATTTGATTATTGATTTTTCCTAGATAAAGGTTTTCTTTTCTCCAAGTGGTTTGGTACTTCTGAAAACCTTCGCTTGCGGAGAGAAACCCTTAAAGATGTCAATATGCCGAGAGCTTCCAGGATTTACTAACCTTCTAGTTTTTTGGCAACCAAAGCTGCAAGCTCAGCAAATTCGTTTTCCGAAGTTCCCAAAAGTTTCGTAAGAGTATCCAGTAGCATCGACCAATCACAAGTCGCCAGCTGTGAAATGAAGTCTATTCATTAAGTATAAATGGTTTAAAAACACATTCCGGCAAAATTGGACCTCATTAATAGTAAGTTCAGATAGGATCAACACAAGGAATGAGAGCAATGCAGAGTGTAAGCCTTAGTGCGAGCTATGAGAAAGTGTCCAGGAAAAAAAAGCAGCTTTTACCTCTGGCAGAAATATTGCTGGAAACTCCCGTACCACTTCCATTTTTGTAAGTCGATCGGTAGATGTGAGCAAAAAGTTAGAAAGCGTTTTCTGAAATAATTCAAAAAGGGTTTTCTTTGCTGAAGAGTATAGTAGGAATCAGATCCTCTTTAATAAACTACTACATAACCTACCAGAAATGATCCTAGAGCTTCCGGTTTGTGTCGAAGAAATGCTTGGATTGCCTGAGCAGTTATTTTTCGTATAGTAATTTTTGAATTTCCTAATTTTGGAATTAAATTTGGCATCAAATAGCACATACAGTACTCCAGATTCTGAAAAAAAAACTGTTATTTTGCTTTTCTTAAACAGTAGAAGTGGTCCATTCGCAATTCTATGTGATATTCTACCTTCTTGTCTACTATCTGTACTTTCAACTTTTGCTTCTATCTATTATATAGAGGTAGCGCAGTGGTCAGAAGTGCTCCTTCAATATACCAGTTGATTGGCCTCCAGTTTCATCCCACACTCCCGCAAACCATGGCCGTCCATCAATTCGAGGTCAACAACTGGTACTAGACAGCACCAGCACTTTACGATTCTCCGACTGATAACAAATGCATAGCACTTCCCTACGGGTTCGATCAACCAGCGAACGCTTTACCCCCATTTTATGATCCGTTTCAGAAGCGTTTGTTAGACTGATTTCCACTAAAACCAACCATAACCGAGTGAAAATTTATTGGTTTAAATTTGATAACTGCCTTTAAAAAGTCAATGTTTGAAGGAAATTAAGCTTAAAGGAGGACGCGTGTGGTGCAGTGGTCGGAGGCCCCCTGCAACACACACTTGGAATTGATTCCCGCTTCCATGGCCCAACAAGCCTTCCATCCCTCCGGGGTCGGCAAAACAAATTGGTGCCAGACTTGTCTGGGAAGATAGTAACACTTGCTCTATACGTCGGTAGGCTACCGCGACTCATTGTAAAGGCCAGATATGTATTCAATCACATCCAACGATACTTAATGAAGTCGAATGCATGGCACATCCTTTAGGGTTTCAACAACGCTGAGAGCTTTATCCTTTTTTAAGCTTAAAGGTCTTTAATTGGAAATATTTCCTGCGAGGTATTGACTCATTGTTTTTCTTTAGACCACTTTCAGTCTAAATTGCCATTCTTTGAAATATTATGTAGAGTGCTCGTATTTCAAGAAGACCTCACTGTATCGTTTCATGGTAACGTTAGGATTTATAGGTGAAAAACAACTCCCGTATGAGTATAATTCATTTGTTCACCTTTTGTAGAAGTAGTATTAAGATCTTATAAACGCCAATCCTTTTTTGACCTCATTTTCTTCCAGTTGCAACGGTCTTAACTATACATTCTACTTACTTCAAATACCAGTCGATTGGTAAAAAGGAAAGCATCGGCTATAACTGGGTTCAGAGGAATTGGATAAACAAAGGATGAAGCGTTGATCTCAGTGTTAATCAACTGCTGAAGGATGCACCATGCATTCGACTTCAACATTATAGATGAGCGACGGTATAATTGACCTATACAGTGACTTGCGGTTTCGTTATGAAGTTTCAGTCAGTGATACCGCTTTATCAGATAATTCTGGTAACAGTTTGCCGAACCCGGAGCGAACGAAGTCTTGGTGAGCCCGTGGAGCTGCATAGAGCCAACGACTACATGTGTGCCACAGAGCACCTAACGACTGCGTCATGCAGTCTATGAGAGAACAGCATTACATTATTGTTCATCATTAAATGGCGACTAAGGTATATATAGTGAACTCTCAAACGTATGTTGGCTAAGAAGATTTACATTGAGAAGGTCTAATAATGGGCGACTCTAATGCAACAAGCTTTAACTAAGGAGCTGAAGATAATTGCTTCTTTTCTGCTTGATGATACATTGCATAGCATTCTTCAGTGCCACCTTCTGTTTAACTTTTGATTGCTCAACAGGTTTTTCTGATGAGCTGGTGCAAAACCCATTCGCGGCCATGGAACGAGCACAACGGACGCTCTCAATGAATTTCAGTAGAATCAACAGTAATGTGTTAATGTAGCGTTTATTTCACACTGTTTACTGTCGCGGATTTCGTCTCCTACTGAGATGCATTTGTCTGCACTGTCTAGTCAGTAGGACACCACCTGCAGAATGTTCACGTGGGATGAGGAAATCATAGCAAGAAACCTTTTATTGCTTCGCCTTAAGAGCTTAGAAGGATGCAGAATATTTTGCTAGGTACCATCCAATCTCTATTACCTATCATAATTCTTGGGAATGCTAAGACGATGAAGCGCCAACAACTGATTATAACAAAAACGCATAAAAGTCCCGACCTACACACCTTTTGATTAAGAAAGGTGAACTTGGAAAAATAATGGAAACCACTTTTCGAAAATCCGAGGCTGTTTTTCCCTTAAAGATCTAGCTCAGTGTCAATAAAATGAGAAAGGATTTCTTCGCAAGATGTCAAGGAGGTGAAAAAAATATATAGGAAAAAATGCAACTCTTACTGAACCAAACGTTGTCATTGAATTTTGGAGAAATTTGATGCACTGATGTTGTACTTCCCATCGATCATCCGCTAGAATTCGATCGAAGTTCTTGAATAGTTCGCCCTTCCGTGGACAATTCGTGAACCATTCTGGATCTCGACGAGCAATGCCGGACAGTCGGTTCAACGTCTGAGAAGGTGAGCACGAATTAAGGAGTTTTTCACAAAGCTTTTAAAAAATTTTTCAGATGTTTCAGTAGAGTTCTTTAGCATGGTACAACAAAGGTTCACTCAAGCTCTGCTGAGTGGTCAATCGAAACATGATCTTGTAAGACATTCTCGATATCGATCTACAAAAAACTGTGAAGTGTCCATGGAATTCTGCATTTCAACTCCTCAAAAGTCACGCTTTACCGTGCCACCCTTATGATGAGTAAAATATTCATTGATTTCTCAAGAAAAATGAATAGTATGTTAGCAGCAGGTGCTCCTGCTCGAAACTGGCTGTGAGCCGCGTCCAAATTTCTTTTCCGGACTTACAGTTTGGCCTGTTTATGAAAAAATTAACTAAGAGCTAAAAATTTATTGCAAGACAGATCTTTCGCCAATGGTTATATTAACAGGATAGGTCTAAGACTTGAATTCTTTAACTATTTCGCCACGAGGCCGAGTTCTCTCTGTTCGGTTATGAAGGTGTTTGGCCGAATAGGTTGCTGTCAACATGACCTTTCCAGACTCTGAGGAAGGCGAAATCCGCCGAAACGTCAGCTTTTACGTGAGTGGGGAAGTGGAATAGCACCTCGTGTTTGCTGAACAGAAGTGGAAAGAATTATTATCGTAAGTTTCTATTTCTAGAATAAATGCTTGCAATTTGAAGCCCACTTTTTAACTCATGGGCTTGTGAATGTTGGAACCTGATTGAGGCTTTAATGATATAAAAAATCTCCTTTTATATTAAATATTTGTGTAGAAGCCTCATGAGTGGTCCACTAATGTCCAGCGATGTGGAAGAAACTCATGAAAGTAAAGTTTTTCTTCAACTGTTTCTCGGCTGTCACTGGCTTTGTGCTTATCGATATTTTGACTTATTACGTACTACTCATTATAACTCTAGTACTCGATAATGCTGACTTTCAAACAGATTGATTATTCGATGAACACTCTGAATTCTCCTAGACAAGCTAGCCGGCAGCATACCGAACCTCTTCTTTCCAAAAGATTTACCGGCATCAAATTGAAAAGTTGAGGGGACAAATAGGAATCATTAAACTACGCGGTTTACAAGAGTCTAATCTGAACAGTATGAGTTTACAAGAGTCTAATCTGAACAGTATTTCACTTTCCCATTCTTTAAAATTCCTTCAAATCTGGCATACTCATTGAGTAACTCGCAAAGCGCACCCTCTCTCCAGCAAAAAGAAGAGTTTTCACATGTTAGTTAATTTACTCAGAAAACCGTTAATAGATACGCACAACTTTCTATTTACAGCCTATTAATTTTTTATGGCAGGATATTACTGCGCCATTGAGGCACTTACTTTGCCTTTCTTTTAGCCAGTTTTTTTGCCCTAACAGCTCCATCAGAAAAATTGGCCGAGGGAAATGAAAAGCAAAGGATTCCGCGGTGCAGTGGGTAACACGTGAGCTCTGCAAAGGATAGTCACCGGTTCGAATCCGCCCAGGGGGACAGAGTTTTGCAAATGTCTGAGCATCATTGCGGTTATATTTCACATTAATGGATAACTACTAAATATAGGGGCAGATGTCAACGAAGAAGCCAAAAAATATTAGACAGCTTTTACGAACTCTATCCTACCTGGAGGCGAACATCAAAGTCAGAACTGCGCAACAGTTCGGCGTAGTCATCTTCTCGAGGCATGAAGGCAGGCGACGGAATACAATCTCCACGGTGATGAAGCGGTTCCAGCAAAGAGTCCATCGATGTCCTGGTTATAAGAGATGATATTGCAAACAGCTTTTCTAAACAAATCTAGCTCAGCTTGTAGATTGTAGTACTCAAATTACACACTTAACATTTGTCAACTTGTTGGACTGAAAGGAAAATATAACAAAAAACCTCTGAAACGAGTAAGCACACCTACAAAATCAGCTCTTCCTAAATGAATGAAGTTCTTCTACTATGCGACCTTTTCTCTTAATGACACATGCTTTTCATCATTCTCTTGAGCACTGACGGCCCATGTTGATGAGCCGTACGTATTCCAGAGCATTCTCGTTCGATCAAAAATTTACTAACTTAACCATTTTATTTACTGCCTTTTTCTTTTTAATGGCAGGGTATGTTGCAAAATATAACTCCTATATAATGCTGAGATATTTGCAAAACTCCGGACCGCAGGTGTATGCGGTGGAAAACGAAAGCGCGCTATTGTCCTTTCCGGGAAGTAGTGCACAAAAATTTAGTGTTTTCTTCATGAGCCGACACGAGGCTGTTACTATACTTTGCATCCGGAAAACGTGATGTGTCTGACGTTTTTACGTTTTCAACCTTAAGAGAAAGAAATCGCTTGCAACCTAGACTACAATCAACTCAGCCTTTCCAGGCTTTCAAAAAGGAGAGATCCGCCGAAACACTAGCTATTGTAAAAGAAAAAGCTGTAAAACCTCATGTCCTGCTCATCAAGAAAATCATCGTTTATTGACCGAAGACGAGATTAATAGAAGATCGATGTTGGGAGTTCTCGTTTGACTCCTTTCGCTTCCTCATGACCGCCGTCCTTTGTGACAATCTGTTTCGAGCAAGGAGACATGTATGGGTATCATCCCATGATGCATGAATCCTTTGCAGTCGCGAATACAACAGATGGACATGAACTACTACACATTAACCATCTCATAGATGGGTACCGCAGAACACTCTTTACCCCTCTCTGAATCCACTGTACCACGCGTTGAAGCCTTTGGCAACACTTTTCTCTACGCACTGCTACAACCGTCTAGACGTAGAGTGCGTCTAATCCTCTCTTAAGGTTTGCATGAGTTTCTAAGGTTTCTGGTGGAATAATTTAGCATGTTCTAAAGTTCTTCACCACAATCCCTCTGTTTCAATAAAGAGATTAGACATGTATGGGTATCGCGTTCACTACCACACCATGCGGGTCCTTCGTTTTGCCTGTCTCTCAGCTAATTCTATCGATCTTCTGCCATCAGCAATCACCCGTCAACGGGATTGATCTGGAGAGCCCAAATCGGCATGGAACTCAGTTAAGCTGAGGCTATAGTTGCAATCATAATCTTAAACGACAGTGATTCTTGGCATTATTTTACTTCGAAGCAAATATCCGGATGGAAATCTCGAGCACCTTCTCGGATTGGAAGGCCTTGCGAAGCGAAAGGATGAAACCAGTTCTTTGTCATCATTCGACAATCGAGGATACCTTCGGCTATGATTGAACAGCAAACCAGTGAGTGGTATATGTTGCATATTAGTACAAATATTTTCTTATATTGTTCAATAACCAGGAAGTGACGTTAGTATCCAGTGCCAGCGAAAAGAATATGCGTCAGTGATTACTAGTTCACCAACTAGAGTCACTATTATTAATCGCAATCTGGACGCGTAATTTTATACACTATACTTTATAAAAAATGATAGAACAAAAACAAAATAAAAGAATAGAAGTAGCCGAGAGATAAGCAAAACGAAGGACCTGCGCGGTCTGGTGGTGAGCGCGTTACTCCCTAGAAAGGAGAATAGCGCGTTCGTTGCCCACCGCAGATACCAGCGGTCCGGAGTTTTGCAAATATCTCAGCACCGTTGTGATTAAAATAAAAGAGTTTCAGTGCGTAAAAAAGACGACTGTTCGAAAAACCGATATAGTCCTGTGTTGTTCTTCATATCATATTGAACAAACCCTAGGTTAACGTATGGAATGGCAACATTGCAACCTACTTTCTCCAAACTGCTAAGGATCACCTGCTTCCACTGTACGTAGTCTGACGAGTGCGGTAGAAATCTATCACCGACACAAAACCTCACACATCGTCTTCCTGGATTACGAAAAATGACGGAATGAACAGCCTTTCAACGCTACAATGCACAAACAGATCTTAAATGCATTGAAGAAAGCCGAAAGTTGTAAGAGCTTATGCTGTGCTTAAAGCTTATGCTTATGAAAGCTTATGCTGTTCCAACAAAAGCCAGTTACTTAAAGTAAGACTCGTTCAACTGGAAGATGTCTAGTCACTTCCATTGTGCTCCATTGACCATTATTCGATTGCGAATAAAATAAACGAGCAAAATTTCATGAGAAGTGGTCGCTTGAGTTGTAGAAGTGTAAACATTTTCTGATAGAAACTGCTGTTGTGCAATATTCCTCTCTTTGCTTCTTGCTAAAACCTCTTTTTCTTCTGCTAAAGAGTTCTTTTTGGTAAAAGTCAACGTCTTCAATCAAAAACGGACAAAAGATTGAACGGTTTCGATATCTTATTGAGCTGATCTCCAATATTTCAACGGCTCATAATTCTCTCGAGGAGCTCAAAGGTGTCGAACAACGAACGTTCGTTCTCGTTAGTAACCCCTTCGCCATCATGCTCACTGACTTCAATAGATATGCTGGTGCACGCTACTGACAGTACACCTTTATTTCAATGTGTCTGCTTTTCTCTGAACTATTTCACCTTACAGAACTTTTTTTACTGGTTTTGTAGCTAATCCATAGCTCCTCCCAACGATTTACCGCCTCATCGTGGCTGGGAGGTGTTCATGGGTGTTGGGCTGCGATGTTCAGTGGGGGATTCATCCCCTGCCGGGCGCTCCCAAGCTGAGAAAGAGTCCGCCGTTTCCATCAGGAAACCTAGCTAGGAATAAACCGATACCATGATCCACCACCGTCCTGGTATCAATATCGCATGGTGGCAAATCTCTCTCTGATCCGCAAGGATCTGCGACTACCCGTGATGGTGAACACCTGGGGCAGACTTTGGCCAGGCTGACCTCGAGATTCCAGGTAGCCACAATGGCTTAACCAGCAATTTTTCAAAAAATGGTGACTATACTGAGGCCCGTTCAATCAGTGAGGACGGGCCGCTCAAGTATCAACTATCAAGTAATCCATAGTTTCTCGAACACATATTTTATGATGGGGCAATTCATGGATGGGTGATGTTAACGTGCTACTGCTGCGAACAGCCGACGACATGATGGTGGAATGGATAGGAAAAACATGAAAGAGACACAGAAATACACTTCAGCTATCATATGAAACCAAACAAATAACATAAAATAATAACATCGTGGTTAGATAGTGGACGAACATTCTTTTACGTCATATACAAAGAATAAATAACACAGAAGAGGTGTCCAAGAGCGGGTTAACACACAGAAGAACATAGCGAATACGTGAAAGTTAAAGAGCTGGGCAGAG